TGCTCATAATGTTGGGTGGCTGGGATAATTCTCAGGGCTTCCATAGCAAGCATGGTCAGAAGCTTGCTCTTCCCTGTTTCTGGAAACTTAGTTCTTGAACTTCAAAGAGTCCCCTGAAAGCCTGTGCTCAGAATTAAGGATGTTTTCTCCTTCTAGAGGTGCCTTTAGATTTAAAAGCCCCCAATCTAAAATCTTTAATGCCCATACCTATGCAGTAACAGGAGAGAAGGGTTAACTCTGGTTCCAGTTGTGTTGTCAGGACTGCAACTACGAGCAACCCTAAGAAAACAGTGAATGTGGGCCAAAGAGCTTAAAAGGCACGCTATCAAAGAGATGCAAACTCTTTTTCTCTCCTTTTATCTTGCCACTTAGCTGAGCTTTATTTTGTTTTCCACTGTCTTGACAATCCTTAGATTCACCATCACTCATATTATGTATAAAATGAAAGGAAGATTCCTTATTTTGAAGGCAAATGCAAATGGCAGCCAACCACCTGCTTTCTCCAGAGAATACTAAAAGCAAATACTATAAATGAGGGGTTATGGATTACAACAAGGAACAGAAACTGAGAAGGCAGGATTGGGCTCTTTTTTAATCTATGGGTTTGTTTTTTTCCTGAGCACTGATATTTGGACAGGAGGAGACAAACACAGGAAGATAACAAACCATTTTCAAAGTATTCATATCCAGAGTCATGAACTTGGCCCATCTTCTGCTCCTGTACCAGCCATTTTATTTAATTTACCATTACACTTGGTACATTCAAAATGACAGGAGGAACGGCTGTGATTGTGATCCAAGGCACTCAAATTCAATTTATCATCAGGGCTGTTTGTCCTGTTTCTGGCTCAACTCCTCAAACAAGAACACAGTACACATTTGGCTAGTGTAGTGGATCCAGAAATCTTCGCAAATTAAGGGTCTTCCAGGTTTTAACGTACTCCCAATTACCAGAGAAACCAGGATCGATGGAAAGCAAGATAAGAATATGGGTCTATTACTGAAAACTCCCACTGAACTACCAATCCAGTCCCAGGGCCTGAAAGGGTTTTTGGGTCCAGTCATTCTTTCTCAGCCTAATTTGCCCTGCAATATTGGGATTCTGCAAGATCAAAGAAGCAGAAGAAAATCATATAGTCTGCCTTCAGCTTTTTGGAGGAAACCCAAAGGTGTGGTTTTTTTTTCAAAAGGCAATTGGATTCTCTTTGTTTTTCCTTGAAGACATTTCGCTTCTCATCTAAGAAGCTTTTTTAGCAGTTCTGTAGAAAAAACATCTTCAGGAAAAAATGAAGAAAATCCAATTGCCTTTTGAAAAAGCATCTTTGGGACAACCAGGACCTGCATGACTGAGAATCTCCACAGACATTTACTTGCAGGTGTTTCATTACCCAAACCAGGTAAAATCTACGTAACTAACTAGGTAACACTAACCAGGTAAAATCTACGTAACTAACTAGGTAACACTAACACTGAAGTTATGTAGTTTGGGCAATGAAACATCTGCAAGAAAACAACCGAGCTCAGCAAAAATCTAAATCTTATTTGAGTGGCATATAAGCACTATACACAATCATCATAAACCTAATAACAAAACTTATACAATCAACAAGTTTATAAAGAGAATAAACAGAATGCCAAAATTTCTGAGAACTTAGAAACCTGACATTAGCATTTAGGAGTTCTTTTCTCTAATAATATGGTGCCTCTCAGATGTTTTGTGTTTTTTTTTTTTTACTATAGTTCCCATGATCTCTGACTCATGGTCTTGCTGCTTAGAATTTACAACAGTTGCACCCCAAAATATCTGGCAGAAACCACGATACCTTTAGAGAAGGAAAAGGGGATGACCCTCAATTGTCTTTTGACCTTGCATCATCTGCCCAGTTTCTATCTAAAAAAAAAAAAAGACACCCCCCTTCCATTTCTCTCTTTTTCTTTAGATGGATCACAATCAAGGGGAAGAAGGGAAATAATAACTCAATACAATCTTCAGAAACAGTTTTTGATTTCGACAAGACTTCTTAAAAATGGAAAGTGGGGGTGGGGGAGAAGAGAACTCACCCTCTGAATGTGCAGGGCATCTTTCCCTTCCCTCCAGCTCAGGCAGAGCCTTTGGGAAATGCCACAGCCCCCCCACGACCCAGTTCCGGACCCAGTTCCGTCATGCCATCTGATCATCCACCTCCCCCACTGGCTCCCACCCACACATCTGAAAGCAAAGCAGATGTGCCTACTGTGGCTGCCTGACCCCAACCTAGCAGGCAGGAAGCCCCAGACCTGGAGATGACAAGAAGTGCCCTGGCCCCCTGCAGGAAACCCCAAATCCTGAAGGCTCCCCTGGTGACTGACACTGCTGAACTGGCATATTGGTTGAGACTTCCCTGGGAATCTCTCTCCCCCTCCTATTGTTGTTCCCAAATAACCTCTCTTCTTAACCATATCTATCATTCGCGCACTCCCAGCCAGGATTTCCGAAGCTACTGCTTAAGCTCCCTCTTTCAGAAAGGGATTGTCTTAAGGGAGCCACTTGAGCAACAACGCATGCTTCCCCAAAACAGGGTAAAAGAACCTCAACTGGGATGCCTATTTATATGGACTACGCTACCTCCCCTTCTGCTCTCAGCTTTAGAAAGGCATAAAGCACCTCCTTCACAAAGGTAGGATGTAGAAAATGTCCGAATGGGAATAGGTGGGATCTATTCAATGTCTGCCACTCTTCTGAAAGGACTGGAGTATATACTGTACATTAGGCTCACCAGCCAGCAGGTGGAGCTGTTTGGAGGGAGCTGTTAATGCACTGGAATCTCCAAATGGCTCATCTACCCACAGATCCCTCTTCTGCTCCTTGAGGAAGACTTTGAGACCAAAGCTATGGTATCTACCAGCCTTGTTCCAACCGAGGAATGCAATCTCTTCAGTCCCCATCCATTTCACAGGGATTCTTCACCACAGATCTCTCCATTATAAGATATTGTCCCTTGATTTGGGAAGCCAGTCAATATTATCCCAATAAATAAGGAAACACTGCTTCTCCTCCCAGATGCCCATTTAACCCAATCCCCTGCAACTGTGCAATGAACTGATGGCAAAGCCTGGCACCCCCGAGGTTGCTCAGCCCCAACTTTCCAACAGTCCTTCTCGATTACCCCAGAGATCATCACCCCCCCCCCAAACAATCAACTAGGAAGTGGTCAGGAAGTGGGTGTCTCCTAGCTTAAAATAGACCCTTTCTCTCAGCCTGTCGACTCACCACTTCAGAGTCTTCGAATCCATGGAGATAGGAGTCGTCATACATGAGGGAAGGAAAGAATCGTTGAGGAAGCCAAGCCAAGAGGGAAGAAAAATAGGAGCTCTTCCAAATGGACAGTGGTCTACTGCCGTGCCCCCTGCCCTAGCTGGGTTGGGGGCAGCAGGTGGCACACAGTGGTAAAGCAATTCAGCCTGCTATCGATCTGATTCCCCACCCTGGATGCTCTCATTCTCAGCTGAGCAGCAACAGCAAAAACAATAGCGCCCACCCACCAGCCCTCCCTTGGGGGCAGGCACAGAGACAGGCAAGTAAGGAGGGAGGCGAGGCAGGCAGTGGCATCTGGACAGTGCAGCTCTATCTGCACCTCCTTATAGCGACACGGAAGATGTAGGATTGGGGTGCCAGGGGACATGAAGCAGCAGGACACAACAAGGGAAGAACTGGTCATCAAGAGAGTTCTTGGAAGTGTGGAACAACCCCACCGGATGGGAGGAGAACAAGAAGTATAACCACACTTTCCAACCAACGCATCCCCCATTAGACGGCTTCCCAAGAGTTAAGTGAGATGCAGGAAAGCCTACTGAGACATCCAACCTGCGGATGGGTGGTGACCTCTCATTGAGTTACCTGCCACGAAAATGCAAGGTGGGCTGGAATGGGCATAGCAACATGGGACAAGCAAAGTCACATGGACAAGGAATCACAGAGGGCTATCCTTCGATCATACACCAGTTTCCTTCATACCAGCTTTTACCCAGGTACCAAAAATCCTAATTTCCTGCACACTAGTCCTCGTGCCAAGACAGTCTTTTCTGTAACCTCTCACAATCTTGAGAGGCATTCTTGGACAGATGCCTTGATTCATACTTCACCAACCTACTTTTTCTCCCTCGCTGCGTTGGAGAACTTCTGCCATTCCCTAGGCGATGGGAGCTATAGTCCAGTACTTCTGTACAACCCATTCTACTTTTGCTGAGGTCTTCAACTTTGCGTGCACATGCCCCAGATCCAACCAAATTTCCATCCTTACCTACGTCTGACCCTACCAACTCTGGGATAGATGATGCCTACCCACCTGCACTGGGCTGACAGAAATGAACAGGGAGGGGAGGACTTTGCAAGAAGTGAGCCAGATGGGGATTTTCCCCCTGCAATCCCCCAGGCGCTGGTTCCATCTGCCTCTCTTACTTCAGTGCCAGAGCTGCTAGCACAATCTAATCTCCGCCCCACGCTTATTTCCCACCCAAAGTTGGGGAGCTGTCCAATATATTTGGCGGAGGAGGGGTTAACACCAGCTTTTGCAAAAACCAGACCCAATCTCATCATCTCTTCACACTGTTTTCTAATAGGAATTTTCACTCTATTCCCGGCTGAGATGTTAAAAAAAAAAACATCATCGGAATGCCGGAAAGGGGAACCATGACCGTAAGAAGAAACAAGCAAACAAACAAACAAAAAACACCCAGTCCCTCTTTTCCTGCTCCCCGACGTCTCCTGTCCATAATTCTACCAGGCAAAGGCTCCGGTTCTGCCAGGAGTTGCATTCAGGGCGGGCGGGGAATCTGGGAAGAGAGCTAGGAAAGAGCGCCCGGGCTGGTCCTGGTGCTTAGCAGCAGGAGAGAACGGAGCAGGGAGGCAGTCAGGGAGGAGGAGGAGGAGAAGAAGGTAAGAGGGTTGGAGAACAGCGTGGTGATAGGCGATGGCAACGGCGGCGGCGGCGGCGGCGGCGGCGCGGTGCCTGTTAAGTTACCTCGTTGAGCAGGAAGGTAGCGCTGGAGTCAGAAAAAGACATAGACAGACGGGGAGGGAGCCGGCCAGCCGGCGAGGCCCGGAGTGCGGTGCCAGCTGGGAAAGAAGGAAGGAGGGAGGGAGGCGCCCCCCGCCCCCGCTGCTTTCCCCGCCGCGCCGCTCCCAAGCGCCTTCCTCGCCCTCGCCTTCTTCTCTCGTTCTCCTTCTCCAGGTCCAGCGCCGCGCGCGCCGCCGCCGCGCATCCCTCTCCGCCCCTTTTCGCTTCCCCCTCCTCCCGTTACGCGCCGCTCGGAGAATGGGGGACGTGCCAAGCGCTAAATAATCACATTACTCGGGGAGGGGGAGGGGCAGGGGTGCGCCCAACCGAGCCCGTGAGCTCACTTCGCGCGGCGGCGGCGGAGGCGGCCGGCTTCCTCGCTCTCCCAGCCCCACGCCTTTTCCCGCCGTCTTCCCCACCGCCGCCACGTCTTCGCAAAACACCTCAGCCGGGACTGTCGGGAGAAGCTGCAGTTGACTCTTCGGGCGGCTTCTTCTTTCGCCGTGCTTCCCAGATGCTCATCCAGTAGAAATAGTGAGAGGGCGGGCACCTTACCAACCGGGAGACAAGATTGTGGCGGCACAAGCGGCTCACCCACCCTCCTTTCATTCCTCCCTCCTCCCTCCCCCTCGCTCCGATCCCCGACGCATTTTCTCAGGCATCGGGTTGGTCTGGGATCCCTGGAGCTCAACCAACTTGGACTTCCAGGGATCCAGAAAATCTTAGGCGGGGATAAAATAAGATGCCATTTACTGAAAGTAAGTGCAGAGGGGTATGTATGTCCACTGAATGACTGCTAAGAATCTCCACATGATAGGGAATGGGGGAAAGCTGCTCCCGTTAGTCAGAGAAATACATTTTCAGATTACTTGGACCTGCCGGAGAGTTTTCCCTTTCCACCCCCCCCCCCCGAAGTAATGATGTTTTCTTTTCTGAATCCTGCTTTGGACCGGTAAAGTGATCACTCTGAAATGTCCCGTATAATTCTCTCCTTCCTGAGTTCCTTCGGTGCCCATTCCTTCAACCTCTTTTCTGCCAGTCTCCCGCTCCTTTTGTTGGCCTGTCTCAGAAGCTGGTTTGAAAATCAGGTGGGATTTTTGACACCGGTTTGGAATGAACAGCTAGATTGGAGAAAGATGGACAGGAATAGGAGGCATCATACTCCTGATTCTCTTGAGAGAGGAGCAGATGTGAGACAAGTGAATCTAAGTGGAAAGCATAGCTATACAAGCAAAGTCTCTATAGTACTGTTTCCTTTTGGGGGAGGGGGGAGAGAAGGAAGCAATTAGCTTTGTCACTACCCTGGCACAATCTGAAGGGGGAAAAAGAAAGATGCAAAAACAACTGTTCTGATCTTCTGCCCTTTGAGTCTTGTGGGGCTACAACTATCCCCATCTGCATGGCTGTGGCTGGGAGTGAAGGGACAACACATCTGGAGGTGACACAAGTGGCAAGGAGGCTAGATGTTCCAGACTTGTGGGAGGGCAATAATGCCAGAAGCTGGAACATGAGTGGCAGACAAAGAATTTAGCAGTTTCGGCATTTTGTGCAGCTAAACTGTTGAATTCATGGGGAGCTCTTCCCTCAAATGACTTCATTTGAAAAAGAGCATTGCAATAGATAAGCCTTGGATGTTGTCCTGGCAAACAAACTGGAAAGGCAGAGCATCTGTTTGGGTTCTCTGCTGCTGAAGAAGCTGTGAGCCACAGTGGTAGCCAAGGCCATCTGCCTGCTTGAATCTGCCAGTTACCTCAGGGCCCAGTTCATTCTGCCTCTCTTGAATTCTTTTCTCAGGGTTTGGGTTTCCAGTCTACACACACACACACACTCCCCAGCCCCAACCCAGGCTCTGGATTATTCCTTCCAGTCTTCCTCCTCATTTCCAATTCAACCCAAGAGACCATGGCACATTGCCTCGTTGAGCAGAAAGATGCTGGATATGGAGAGATGCAGAAGTGGCTGCCTCTTTGCTGGATGAAAACAACACTGATTGCTGCACCCCCACCTCTAACTTCCTCATAAATTCAACCTAGTAGTTCATAAGGCAGGTGTGAAATCCAGTTCACAGGGACTATTATGCGACAGGGAGGGTGCAGTTTCCAAAAATCAGGGCCACTAACAAATTGTGTACCTGGCTGCCAGGAAGAATATGGCCAGCTGCAAAAACCTATTTACTAGAAGACAAACAGGCAGGATTTTTTTCCCCTCAGCGAACTCTTCTAATTCTCAGAGATGCTTTCTATTGCTGCTCTTTGCCTTCTGACACCATGCAGAAATATCTCGTTAGCTGATAGGCTCTTACAGGATCTCATGTGTCATTGCAAAGTCAGCTGTGCATCCTCTTTTAGCATCCAGCACTACAGATTTATCCACGCTATTCACTGACAATTCTGAGACTATAAGAAAGCTGTAAAAAAAAGACTCAGCATTTTGGCTTCTGGAAGGAATGGTTCCCCAAGAATGGTGCTTGTTCTAACTGCAGCTTGTTTCCTGGATCCTTAAGCTGACCAAAGTGGCTGCTGGGAAGGATGATACAGTGGAGCAATTGGTCCTCAGAGAAGGATTGAAATTAAACCCAAGAAGAGATTAAATCTTTTGTGAGGATCTCTTTTGATTTTGAAAGTTGTCCTTTTTACCAGCAAGTACCAAAATGGCAAACCTATGAGGGCAGCAATCAAGACCCATATCTGCTTTCCTCAGTTTACTGGAATGTATATTCTCTTCATCATGTCCTCAATGGGCAGACCAGGATGTGCTCACCTTCAGTGTGATAATATTCAGTCACCAAAAATCAAGTAGCACGTGAAGGAGGGACAACAAAAGATAGAGAGGTAAAGAGCATCTCTGAGAGCTAAAAAGGGATTGCTGGAAGTAATCCTGCCTGCTTGTCTTCCAGTAAAATAATGTTTCAGGAAGCCACATTCTTCCTGGCAGCCATTTTGTGAATACAGAATCCATCAGGGCAACTTTTTATGAGAGAATCCAGCAGGACATAGTGTTAACTTCTTTTTTACTCTTGCCCCAGATGCCCTTGGCATCCACAATATTATTGTTGTTGTTATTGGGACATTGGAGGTCTTCTAGTCCAACCCTCTACTCAGGCAGGAAACCCTATACTATGAGGGTTCTTCCAAATGTGCAGTGCCTAGCCCCCATTTTGCATCCTGAATCTTAGAAGCATTACAGATCCATGTGTGAATGCCTTGTCTTATGTTTTTCATTCTTCTTTACCAAAAACATCCTCTCTAGTCTAGTAGGATCCAAACCCAAGAAGAATCCAGCTAGGGAGGTCAGACCAAATTCTTTAGCTGGTGTAGGTAGCAAGCCAGATTTGAGGGGCAAAATATGATGTGTAGGAGAAAGTGAGAATGTAGCACTAGTTGGAAACACCTTGAAACAAAAGGTGTCTCTCCTGCATGATCCTGGGAAAAGCACATTTGATTTAAAGTGTTCCTAACAGGTGCTATCTTCACACTGATCTGTGTTCAGCATCACATTTAGTTGGTCAAACCTGACTCATTGCCAAAAAGGAGAATTTGAGGACCCAGGCTTATTTTCCTCTCCTCTGTAACATTTCTCAGCTGTTAGCCTCCCCACTGCTTTAGATGCTTGCCTTCCTTATCTGCTTCACGAGTCACTTTCACAATTTTTTGGCTCAGAAAACCCAGTGGTTTCCTCTTTTTTTTCATCCCAAGTGATTTTTTTTCCCCATAAGAAAATTTAGCAGTTCTTCGGGGATAAAATAAAATACCTAGCCAATCTCAAAAGTTCAGCTGTGTTGACTAAGTACCATAGATCATGGTTGGCATGTAGATGAGATATGACTAGGAAACTTCAGGTAGAGTGGGAAGTCAACAAGGCAGCAAAAACATGCAGAGATTCTTTCCAACCCTTTTACCGACATAAAAAATATACATTTCTTTTGCATATATGTTTGCATGTGTGCTTCCGATCTCCTGTTGTGTTTTATTTGTGTGGGTGGCTCTGTGTCTCAAGACCAGGATTGAGGTGGGAAGGCTTAGAACAGAACAATCAACAACATCCCAAGTCACTCCCCAACTGCTGCTCCTATGGGAAGGATTGGAGTTTTTTTCTTCTGGAATGTTTTTCATACAGCCCCCGGCCAGATCTGGCCCATTTTCAGAATCATCTGAACTATCCCATTTGAATTTCAAAATTATCCTGCTGATAGATGGACAGACAAACAGAACCCTGATTCCTTTTGCATACTTTTCTTTCAACATTTTGGGGAGCTAAAAGGAATAAAAAACATTGTGGAAGAAGACAATGATAAACCATATCTATACTATTGCCAAGAGAGTGATATGGATGTAGTCATTAGAAGTTAACCTGAGTGAGTTTTTCCTCTTTCATTTTTTATTCATGACCCTGGGGTGGACTCAGTTTTTTCCGAGTTCATAGGACTCCTGCCAATTGCTGATTTGCTTCTCTCTGCAAATTCCCTTTCCTAGATCCTTGGTCATTCAAACATTTGATAAAAATATTAAAAAAACTATGGTGCACTGTTGCAATTGAAGAAAAGCCCATGCACTGGCCTGAATGTCTATACAGATTCTCAATTATCCAGGTCATGTTTGTCCCAAAGATGCTTTTCTTCAAAAGGCAATGGACTTCCTTGGTTTTATCCTGAAAACGTTTTGCTTCTTATCCAAGAAGCTTCTTCATTCTGGAGAACTGAAGAAACTTCTTGGACTGCATACTAACTCTATACGTACCACATGTGGAGCTATGAATTAGCCAACCACATTTTAGCTTAATGTGTTGAGCAAATTCAGCTTCCCATGTGGCTAGTTTAGGATTCCATGTGTCATCTGGACCCAGAAAATTTGCCTATTTCTGCAAACAGTGGTTTAGTTCAACATGAGTTAATGCATTTTGTGAACACAAACACTGTTTCTCATTGGGCAGTAGAAATCTTGTTTAGGTGGCATGCAGTGGGCAATGACTTACCTTGAGACAAAGTAAATATCTGGTGAAGGTAAAGTAGAAGTTGAGGAAGGTGGATGGAATGGAATGGAAGAATTAATGGAGCACAAGTAGGCAAAAAGTAGGGATCTTTCCTTAAATCAGGGGTCTTCAAACTTGGCCTTTTTATGACTTGTGGACTTCAACTCCCAGAACTCCTCAGCCAAGTCATAAAAGGGCCAAGTTTGAAGACCCCTGCCTTAAATCTTCTGATAACTTACAGTA